CATTGGCAGCTGGGTCACTGAATAATTATGCAGAATAAAACTGCAGGTCTGAGTTTAGCAGGAAGATCAATCTCCCTTGCGTTGCCAAATGCGAGGCTCTGCTCCGGGGTTTGCAAGTCTTAACAGGCTGGCACTGCCTATATTGCTGGACAAATATATGTCTGTCTGCATCACTACCCAAAGCTGTTTTTCTGCTAGGAGTCATCCAGTTGGACCAAGTGATACAGGTGCTTCTCACCACTGGCATGTTTGTGGGTGGATTCCTGGGGTTTCTCCTTGATAACACCGTTCCAGGTAGGATTTCTTGCAAAGAGCTAAACTGCCTGCACTAGGCTTTTTGTTGTTGTTTTCATTATTACTGAATCAGTTCTGTGGACTGGAGTCATGCTGACAACTATGAAGCATCATGTCCCTGAACTCTTCCCAGAAAAGGATGTAGAACAGGAGACATGGGGAACCCATCACTGAAATGGTCTCTGGCTGAAAAACAAGCAAAAAAACCCAGCAGTTCATCAAAAATGAACTTACTTTTTTAAGGAACCACCTGGTCTAAAGAAATATTTGCAATAGTATACTTTAGGGAAAATATCAGTCTACAGTCAYGTTGTTAGTTGAAAGAAGAGACAGAGGCAACTGAAGGGACGGATCCTCACTTGATGGTGRGATACGCGCAGAAGACATACCTCAGATCAAGCACAACAAAGCCACTTTCAATTTGAGGATRGGGTTTTGGGGTTTTTTTCCCACCCACAATGAACTTTTCTTCTCTTTTGTAGGAACACAGGAGGAGCGAGGACTCCTGGCATGGAAGCAAAGCCAGAACGAAATGGGGGACAACTCTCAGCATGTTTCCAATGTCTATGATCTTCCCTTTGGCATAGGCACCAAATACTGTGCTGTCTCTTGGTTTCGATATCTACCTGCTTGCCCCAAAAGACCATCTAGAGACAAGCAAGTGGGTGAACTGAAGGCTGCTGAACAGGAAAGCAGTGTTAAAGCAAGTTCAGAAAGAATTTCTGACATAGCTGCTGATACAAGGATATAAGCCCTGGTCTAAAGGTGAAACAATTTCTGGAGCAGAGGTCTGAAAATTGTGTCTGCAGCCCCCATCATTTGAGCCTTAAGCGGCAGCTGTCAGCGGCTGGAGCAGAACAGTCCATTGTGTGTCTTTCTCTTCCCACTGCTGCTGGTGACCTCGAGGGAATCACTTTCCTCCTCTCTGCTTCTGCCTGCCCACCTCCAGGAAGATCATAATCCTGCTTTGGAGAACCCCAAAGYCCAGGCTTTCCTAGGACATTGGATTGCCCTCATGTTGAGCCTTGCGATCCCTAAGGACTAGCTGAAGTAGCTGAAGTAGCGCCCCCCCTTTTCCCCTTGCCCAGGTGCTCAGGAAGCAAGAGAAGGAGACACTCCTGTATAGCCTCGCTCCTGCCCTCAGGAGTCCCCTGGGCYGAGGCTCATCCATCCCACCCTAAAGATCTGCATCAGCAGCATTCACCTCAGCTTGGGGCTTGCACCCATTCTGATGAAGGGAAAGAAGTGGGCACCCCTGTGTTATGATTCATGTTCTTTACATGACTCTTGAAAGGACAAATGAATGCTGCTCTAAGAGAGGTGTCTGAGATTAATGGGGTGAATGCCAGTAGTGTGGGTGTCTCTSCCTCCTCAGGACTCCACAGGGAATCTAGAGACCTTCCTTAGGCTGCTGATCTTGCAGAAATAATGAACTTCACTGAAACGAACCCTGCCTGAGGTTGCTAGGAGCAGGCTCAGGGGAAATGGCTTTGCCAGGAAACCACATGCTAGAGCAACAAAGCAATTTTCATCAGAGAAGAAGGAGAAAACTCTTCTGTTCACAGATTATGTACCCGTGCTACTGCTAAGTCCCATGTGAGCCCCCTGCTTGGTCTGGAGTGGTGGTTGTGCCATGAAGACCATTTCTCTGGATGCTGGTTTGCAGATTCCTCCTTTTCTCGATCAGTGGAAACAGTCTGAATCAACATTGCCAAATACACRTGTGATTGTACAAATTGTGGGTGACATGTAATAACACTGCTGCTGTATGATAAGCTTGTGTTTCCCTTCTTGAGATTTACATTGGGATATTTTTGGAGAAAATCAAATAAAATATACAGTGCCAATATCTTTTTCAGGTTGACTGTCMTAACTAGTGTCGTGTACTACTGTAATCAAAGAGCAACTGAGGTTGGAAGGGACCTCTGGTGGTCGTCTGGGCCAAGCCCTTGCTCAGAGCACGTCCAGTTGGGTTGCTCAGAGACTTGCTCAGTTGAGCTATGACTCTCTGAAGAGGGAGATCCATAGCCTCTCTGACGCCGAGTTGGTTTAGGAGAGACTGGGATTAAAGCAGTTAATGAATGACGAACACAACCAGGAAAGGGGTGAAAACTGCTGCACTCTGCAGCCTTCAGATGCCCCATCTTCCATGGTGAGCCTTCCCTTCAGCACTGCGGCTGGTATCCCCATACGGTGAAGGCCAGGCGGGAAGCAGGGATGGGGAACCTCGGTGTTTTTGCTGGCTCTGTGTCAGCCTGCGGAGGCTGCACCCGTTTCTTGTTTTTCCTCAGAGGACGTGGTAGGATGCTGGCAAGTGCTGGGTTTATATTTGGCTTAAATCTGTTAGGAAGAAAATTTGACATGGGTTTCCTGCAAAAAATCCATTCTCAATTTCTTTTTTTTTTAAATTCCCCACCATATGGATGGGACCATTGCTCATCTGTTCTGCTGTCATCTTGCACTTCCAGTCTGCTGCTGCTTTCCCGCATCCCTGATTCCCTGACGGAGCAGAGCTCGTCACGGCTTTACTGAGTGGGAGAGAGGAGAAGCCCTGCTGGGAGCTGATCCATCACCACAGCCCATCCCATGGCCCACAGGGGACAGGCAGCCGTGGAGGACGATGCTGGTGTCACATGTTAAGGCTTAGCAAGCAGTTTTCAGAAGCTGCCTAAGTCCTGATTTCAAGTCTAGGCTCTTTAAACATCCTTCAAAACTTTCTCTTGGGTGTGTTTGTTAGATATCTAAGGAAACTCCTTTCCCAATGTTTTTATTTCTATTTCCAGTATTTTAAAGTGAAGCAGGTTGGGGTTAGGCTGCAGGGCCCTCACTCCTCCTTGGCTGCCTTTGGCTTCTTGAGGTTTGGAGGCAGCTTTGGCTTTGCAGCGCAGTGCCCCRGCTTCTGCTTGCCTCCTACTTCACAAAAATCAATGAAAGACACAGGATTTTCAAGGATTATCTGCCCTATGAGCAAAGGCTGTGGGAGCTGGGTCTGTTTAGCCTGGAGAAGGCTGAGGGGGGACCTGATCAGCGTCTATAAATACCTCAAGGGAGGCAGTGAGGAGGAGGAACCGGCCTCTTTTCAGTGGTGGCCACTGACAGGACTAGAGGAAACGGCCACAAGCTGAGGCACCAAAAGTTCCACAGGAACTAAAGGAAAGGTTTCTTCACAGTGAGGGTGACAGAGCCCTGGAACAGGCTGCCCAGGGAGGCTGTGGAGTCTCCTTCTCTGGAGATCTTTAAAACCCACTTGGATGCCGCCCTGTGCCACGTGCTCTGGGTGACCCTGCGTGAGCAGGGGGGGTTGGACTGGATGACCTCTGAGGTCCCTTCCAACCTTAAGCATTCTATGATTCTATGATTCTAAGTGTAAAACTGGATTGACTGGGACCGGTGGCTCCTTGCTGTGCCTGTTGCCAACAGTTCCTGCTTCATCCAATGGGCAGTGCCACGTGGGGCTGCAGCATAGGGCTGAGGTAGAAGCACTCATGGACAGTCCCGTTTTCCCGGCTTTCCAACAGGGAGACGTGGGCTGCACAGCAGGACTGATGGGTGCTGTGCTTGCCTGGACCAAGGGCATCTCCCCGCTGCAGCAGAGCAGACCTTGTGCAGCTGGGCAAGGCCACAACCGGCCCTGTGCCTTTATCTACGTACAGCTGAAGAGCTACAGAACAGTTTGACCTTGGATTGACTGGGAAAGTCTGCAACATTCAAACAGAATGTTGAAATTCTGACCCCCTAGACCCAGGCTGTCCAGGGAATGGATGTGCTCAATACATTGGGAATGTGAGGAAGAGGAGGCAGGGGAGCCAGGCTTGCTCCTAACATCCTCAAAGCAGTGGCAGCCTGTACATATGAAGTGCACCAGGAGGCCAGGGAAAAAGGAGGCTGCAAAACTCACGAGGGCTCTTAAGCCCCAACAGGATCTGCCAAGTAGGTCCCACCTCCACCTTGGAGGGTACCAGAGCCTCAGCTCCACGGGCAGATGCTTCTTCATAGGAAATATCTGGCCCTTGCACTTTGATGCCAGTCCCCATGTGTGTGACGGTTGTCAGCATGACCATGTCTGCATTTGCAGAGTATCTCTAAATAAAGCTCAGAGATGTGAATGAGCTTATTTATCTCCACAGGGTCTTTAATTCCTAGGCACCATCTGAGCAGCTCCACTCATCAAAAAGCAGGATGTTGCCCTGCCCTTACTCAGGTTTACACACTTGGCAGAATCAAATACTCTGAAGTTTATTATTGTGCCTCCACTTCTGCTGGCAACTTGTGAGCAGGTGGCCATGCTCCAGAAGATGGAAGAAGCATTGTTTCCCTCTCTGTGCCTGTGAGGAAAGGAAGAAATCCCTCCTGCACTGCCTGGCGGAGCTGAAAAGCTTTACAAGAAAGGCCGTACTAACAGGGTGCTCAAACTTCGTTATTCACAATTTGAGGTCCCATGTTAAGGGAGTGTGCAGGATGTCACTTATGTGGCCAATTTTCAGCTCTGTCACCACTTATGTTAAGCAAGGTCACCCCTCTCCACATGCCTTGGTTTAACTCTGAAACAAGGTGAAGTATYAAAAAGCATTAGACAAAAAGTCTTTGTTATCATTTTATAAATAATTTAAACTTAGAACTTTTGAAGATATAAATTACTCAACTGATACATCAAGCAGGAATGGGAAGCCAACAGCAACAAATCACCTCAACAGTGTCTCCACACTCCCCTTGGAGGGACACTCCGCTGAAAGAGGCGCAGTCTCTTCGCATACCTGGTGTACCCAGCAATGCTCAGCAAAACAGCAGCAAACAGACACTATCTACAGATCTTCATCATCAAAGGTCTCAGTGCACCTCAGCATCACGGTCTCATAGTCGAACTGAAGAGAATCTTCCTGAAACCACCCCAAATGCAAGGAAAGTTAAAAACTAAAAGTTTTTTGACTGACCACAGAGCACTGGTCAGTCAAGTGCCTGAGCTACTTGGTGTAGAATGTCTCAAATTTTTCAAATGATTTCTTTCTAAAATAACAGGACTCCATCGTGTTTCAATTTACATCATTTGGATGGATATTACTGAGTACAGTAGCAATAGGGTCACATAACAGGCTCTGAAGACACGAAGGCTTCCTGGGACCCTTAACTTCCATTGACTTCAGGTTTTGATGCTCTTTTGGCAACAGATGGGCTTCTCTTTGACCAGCTTAACAGAGAATAATCTCAGAATAATTCTCAAGAGAATGGCTCTTGAGAAATCAAAGTCTAAGAGATGAAAGAGTTCATCTCTGCAGTCCACCCAGTCCACCTCCCGCACTGATGGAAGACGATTTAGGGTAGGACTGCCTTTCARAATTGGTGTTTTTTTTAAAAATACAGTTTATGGAGCACTAAATCCCAGTTGCCTTCAACATGACTCATCTAAAGTCCTTTAAAAAATGAAAAAAGAAAATATGTGTATTTTAAGATGTAGAAATGCTTAGTACAGTTTAGAAAAAAATACCTTCACTTAGATGCTTTTGAAATTTGGACCTCAATCTAAATGAAGCTTTACTGACTTTGCTGTTCAGCATCTCTTATGATGTGGCCTCAAAGCAACAAATCTGGCCAAATGATGCTGATCTCATGCTTGGAAACGTTTTTTTTTTTTTTCCTACTACAGAAAACTTGCTCCTGTTCTTGCTTTTGGGTCACTGCCCATTGAAGAGTCCTCCTCCTTTCTGCATTAAGTGATTTCTTCCCTCCTCCTGTGTGGTTCTTTCTCAAGCATCTTACAGCAGTGGGGAGTAGAGCCCTGGCAGCTTTGAGCGGAGCTGCACTTGGTGGGTGACCATGAAATGGTAAATAGACACAATCCAACAGGAGCCCCTCGCTGTACAGTTAACTAGAAATGGTGCAACAGAGAGTGGTACATCCTGTAAAAACTCCCACCTCATCAGCTCCGCTGAAGGAAGGAGACCACAGGCTGCCTGCCTTTCCTCATTCAAATACACATTGCACGCCCTGCCTTACTGCTTTACCTGCCTTCACTCATCTTTATTAAGGTGCAGGCAGGTGCCCCTACTTCACCCTTAGGATGTTTCATGCTAGCCCAGGAGTGTGAGCTGCAGGGGTGTATCAGGAAGGAAGGGGCTGCTGGTGTCCAGTCACACCAGTGCAATGTGAAGAACCCAAAGCTGGTGCCCAGGTGGTGGCGGGGGCTCTGCTCCCAGCCAAGAACAGGAGGCTGGTGCTCTGAGCAACCCAATTACTGGGACAAACTGCATAGCCCACGCTGAGCTCTGCAGCTGCCTGAATTGGTGCTGTGGTATTGGTGATGTCTCCTAGTGCCATTCTGCAACTTCCATGCCCACCTAAAGCTGTTTGCAGTGAGAGAGAGCGGAATTTCTGTCCTCACAACTRGAAAATCTTGTCAGCTGGATTTTTCGTGGCCTCTTGGCAGAACCCTCCAGCTGTGCTGTGCTGAAATTATCTAAACCAAAACAGATTGTGACCTTCGCACTATCAGTACTCTACAGCCTGGATGATTTCTGCTCGAACTCCCTTTTGATCGTCTTCTGTTATCACAGAAAACCCCAAGTTCCTGGATAATAAAAGCACACACAGCCTTTCATTTCTTTCTGGATCCACAAAAACTCAGTCACCTGCTGCTCTGCAGTATCTCAGCTTTTTCTCCCTGCGCACATCTTCCCATCATTCGCTAGCCCTATTCCAGCAATCCCTCCTTAAAGCTGGAAAGAGACACAACTTCTTCACACACCATCTGGCCTGGGAGCTGTGAGATGGACTCGGGCTCACAAACAGCAGTGCAACACCAAGCAGGACAAACTGTGAGCACCTAACGATGCTGGGCATGACATTCACAAAGGGTATTTAAAGCAGAAAATACTGCCTCTTGCATAAAGCTGTTCCTTCTTTTACAGCCAGCCTTAGTTCATGGCCATTTATATAAACATAGATGTCTCTTCTTAAGCTGAATATAGCTACTCACAGACTACAGGGCTGTGCAGCTCTGACAATACCCAAGAGTGATATTCAGACAAAAAGTGCAAGAATGGCGCAAACAGTTTGTCTGTCTGATAGCATTTCCTGCAATCTGTGGTGGACATTCTGAATAGGAAATTGTACGTGGACCTTCAAATTTATCAGGCAGCAATGGATTAGTCCTCCAGGAACTGTCCTAGTGCCTTTTTGAACCTTTTGATCTGCACCATCAGGCAAAGAGTTCCTCTAGTTAARCCTGATAATTTTATTAGTTTTTTTAAACATGCTGCCTGTTCATTCATTCCATTGGGTGCTTCATAGTTCTGTTTTTAGAAGCTATCTAAAATATGCTATGTGTACTATCTCTACACCACCTAGCATCTCACTAAATCCTCCATATGACCCACTCCTCRAGGTGTGGGGTTTTTTTGGTTGTTGTTTCTTTTTTYTTATTTTCACAGTGAAGAGTCCTAGCTGTTCCTGCTTAACATTACTCATTGTGTTTCCTGCCATCTTGCTGCGTTTCTTCTAGCACTACTGTCTCTCGCAGCTGCTGGGGTCAAAATGGGCAACAGCAGCACTATGTGAGAGAGACAGAAGTGCAGTAATAGTTCCTATTTTGTCTCCTGTCCCAGTTCCCCTCATCATTATTTCCTTCACCTCACTGAGGTGATGGAGCACCTGCTCCACCAGCAGAAACTGGCAGAAGCTACGTGGTAAGAGAAAATTGAACAGTAAGAAAAAGTGAACAACTGCTGACAGAGCCAAAACACACACCCCTTTGCTGAGGGATCTGCCTTTTGGTGCTGTAACTCTGCAAGTTCTCAGCTCCCTTCTCAGCACTGGAGCAAGAAAGGGAGGCAGAACAGTGCAAACCAATGGGCCTCTGGCACAGCAAACATGCAACGGTGGACTTAGGGTAAAAGGCAGCCCAGCAGATCTTTATTGGGTCCTCCGAGAACATGAAAACTGTATTCCTGAGGCCTCTGCACAGAGCTCCTAGGCTAGGAACCTAGCCTAAGGCGAAGAACAAGATGGTCTAGCCAAACTCAGCATGAGCATCCTGGGGGTAGCGGAGAATGACAAAAAGAGCAGGCACTGATTTGCCTGATCAGATGACCCCACTCAAGCTTTTCCATATGGATATTTGATGCAAAGCACAGTAAAAATTTCCTCCTGTCACTGCCATTTTGAGTAACAACCCCTCAAACTTCGCCGCTTACAGAGTCAGGGCTGCTGAACTGTGGCTTGGCACATCTGAAGTAATGGCCCCCAAGTTCTTGTTTTAATGATGCTGGAGGATAAGGAGAAAAAATTCAGGAAAAACAAATCCCTTTCTAATGATAGGAAAAATATACTGCTCCTTCTATAAGGAATCCTCTGGCAAAGCTTACCTGGCAAAACTCTGTATTAGCAAAGAAAAGGTTTTTGAGGAAGCCAATGATCTGCACATAGAGTCCATGGTGATCCCCTGGATTTTCGGAAGTGCAGCTTCCAAATGCTGAGCTGAAAATGGAACCACAAATTATATTTAATTTCCTGTTCTGTCTTTTCTCCTCCTACTTACTTTCTCTCTCCATTGTTTCACTTGCATATCAAAAAAGATTTAGATTGTTTTCAAGATGAATCTGACATTAAAGGTTAAAGCTGAATAAGACAAGGGGTAAAGGAGATATTGTTTTACAAATGCAAGGAAGATACTTTGAGAACTGCAATACAAGAAGCAATTATCACAAGAAATAAATCCACTGATACATGATACCAGGTGCTCCCACTGTTTTAGGGAAAAGTACAAATTCGTTATAATCAGGACCAACAGTGGTTATTCGGTAAGCTATTTTATAGGGTTGTTTAGAGCTTTGACTTTTTTTTTTTAGTTTTTTTTAGTGAATACAACTATGTGGCAATGGTCTGACACATTAGCTAGCATTAACAGCTTTGTACTGGCAATGGGCATTTTTGGTAAAAAACAGACAAACAAACAAAAAAAGAGCCCCCCCCTCACAATTCACTAGGGGCCTCACTTCTATATTCTCCCTGGGATCTTACAAAATCCTCTTGCACCTCTGCTTGGAATTTCAAGGCTCAGGGTGACAGAAAAAGGAGGAGACAGAATAACTGTTGCCTACTGAAATACTCATCTACTTTGGGACTTACACTGGACTTTGGGGTACTAATCTCCAACTGCAAAGATGACAGCAAGAAACTGCAGCATTCAGGAACATTTTTTTTCTTATTTCAAAAGCAAAGAATGTCATTTAATTGTGATTTAAACAATCAACGCTATTTAATGTATTTGTACTAAGCTTTATTGTGTATTCAGGTGTGTCCTACCAACAACCAAACAACCTTGCTTCTATTCATTTCTATTCATGGCATTCTGGAAGTGGTGGTAAAGAGAACAGCATTCATAGTGCAGCACCCTCTAAATATGCAAAAAATATGGAGAAGATCGGATCCAAAAAGCAGGATTCAAAATGAATTGCAAAGAGAAAAAAAAACATAACCAACTATAAAGAGCAAGTGAGATTGCATGAGTCATAACGCAATTTTCCTCTTGAGGAAAACAACTCTTGTCTACTGGCAAAATCAAATGCAGTGCCAGTTTTGCATCTGACATGTTCGCTCACGGGGAACCACGATCTGACCTGCAGAGGAAAGAGCTGTTATTATTTAATAGATGCTTTTTCCATGGTACTGTCCTGGTCAATCACACCTCAGCTTGATCAAGTCCTTGGGATTGACTTAAGAGTGCTTGAAAAAGGTAAGGAAGGCAATATATAAAGAAAAAAAAAAAAAAAAAAAGGCTTATTTTTCTCTGATTGAATAATAGTACAATTCACATTCATCTGACTTATCCAGAAGACGTCTTGTGGCCCTCGTAGTCCTGTCGAGCGAACAGGCAAACACTGCAAATGGACAGATTAACATTAGAAGAGGAGGAGAAAAACAGCTGGACCCAGTATCTGGAGCTGACTGGGCACTCTTGGTAAGAGTCTCTTCCTTGTTCTGCTGCCAATGTTTATTGGTCATTTCACTTTCATACCTTAGGAGACAGCATTATTATGAGCAGAACAGCTGGRGGCTTCTATTTTAACCATCTACTAAAAATCAGACACATAAAAAGAAAGAAGTTAGTCTACTGACTTCCTCCAACGGGTGTGTACACTATCTAGGCAAAGGGGTGGGTTTATAAATTTACCTCTGACTAGACATTCCCTGAGTCTCATTTCTGTCAAGGAAACCAGAAGCAACATCAAAAGCATCTTCAAACATTACCTACCAAAGAAAATACTTAGATGTCAACACATCCGGCCGCTTTGGAGTTTTACCTAGGCTAAAATTGTTAACAATTAAGTTTTATAAAACATGAAATTCTTTCCATTTAGCAGACACGTTTACTGTYAGAGTAAAGCCACAGTGTTTTGTAGAGACAGGAATAATAAAGCAGAACAACATTTCATGACTAACAGCACAAGATTAGTCCATTCCCTTAGGCCTGTGTGTCAGCCTCTGGGTATCAGGCTTACACTAAACTCTCCCAAAACACCAGTAAAAAAAAAAAAAAAAAAAAAAAAACATGGAATATACCTGTGCCTTCCAGCCTTGACTGAGGGCTGTTATTGCTCTTTATGGACAGAGATCTCAGCTGTACCCACCACTTTTACCAAACCTGACTCCAGTGTGCGACTTGCCTGACAATGGAGTTTGGGTTCTCCATGCTGCACACCCATTAACTCATTAATCCAAACGTACTTCATAAAATTTTCTGTGCCAGAAAGTCTGCCAGAAAGCACCACACATGCAACATCCCCATGACATTTCTGAAGTATGTCAGCAGTATGAACAGCCTGGGTCTCCTGCGACCCAGTAAGAGCTTGCCAATGCAGTTAACTTACATACTCAGGGTTGGCACCTTCCTTCTCTGTCCCCCACAACAAGTAAAATTACCCATATGTCTTTGGCCAGCTAGTTGCTCAGGTAATCAGTGCTGCAGAAACAGTTTGCAGTGAGTTACCTTTTGCTTAATCTCCTTTTAACAAATGCCCTAACTACTGAGGCCCTGACTCTTGGCTCTGCAGGAACGCTGGGAACGGGCTGTCATTTCCTCTGCACTGCTAGAGCAGGCCTTCAAATAGAAGACAATACAATTCAATACAAATCCAAAAAAAAAAAAAAAAAGTCTTGGGAAACTGGGTATTCCTCCTAGATTTAGCCCATCTGGGCTTCTTGGAGAGTTTGCAGAGGGCAGAAACTGTATAATCCTTGTTCTATCCCCCAGAGTAAACTAGGGGGAATGCAGCTGTCACTCAGCACAGAAATGCTGCCGCCAGGGGAGTTTAGCAGGGCCACTGCCACTGCCAGCTTACAGCTTGCCAGGTATCTTATCGAAAGGGAATTCAACGCAGACTTTACTCAAAGCCTCCATTCACAGGTCCCCAGAGCCATGGGCAGGCAACTGCAGTTATCCCATGTCTCCAGTGAAAAGCTGCATGGCCAAGGGGCTCCCCGAGGCTCCCAGCAGCTTCCTGAGCACTTACTTCCTCCTGCGTGGAGACCAGGGAACCACTGGCTTCYTCACTGTTACCTCGGCTGTCCCTCATGCTGCCTTCGGCACAGGCAGGCTCCTGGTAGGGCACTTTGGGATCCAGCAGGAAAGCTCTCTGTCTACAGTACTGCAAGATGCATTCTCTGCTTTCTTCACACAGTTCCTGCCAGAGGTGGGAAATGGCTGTGGAGACTACAGGAAGAGGCACCTCTTCCATGCAAACTACTCCATGCTCTATCAGCAGGTCCACTGTGTGCTTGTAGAAGCACAGGTACCTGTAATGAAAGGAAAAGGAGCATCTCTGTAAGAGCAGGCTCTGATGCAGCTACCTACTGGAAAACAGCATGGGATGGGGAACAGCTCCGACTCCCAGCCGCGTCACTGACTCCCGCTCCCAGACTTCATACAACTAATGAAGGTTGCCCAGGGCTCTTTGAAGATTTTAGCAGCTCTATGCCATCAAGATTTCACCTGTGAAAGGCAGGCTCGGGCCAGAACCACGGCATGAGTGCCTCACAAATGAAGCTGCAGGCAGCTGCAGGCTTGGCTCRGTGCAAAGGCAAACCTCGTTCTGGCATTTCAAAAACTTTTGAGTACTTGCCTTTGTATCCTTTGTAAAGTGTTTTTTTTGTACCTTTACTGGTACAAAGAACAGGACCCTGATGTATTAGGTACTGTACATACCAAGAGGAAGACTACTCCAGGCCTGAAAGCTCCACTTGAGTAAGTTTTTCCCTTCAGTTCAATTTTCTCCATTTTACTTTGGAAGAAACATGTTCCTAAGATTGACTTGTGTGAGACTCTGAAGTGAAGATGGTTGGTGAACATAATATGTCTTGGTGACTAAACTACAGAACCACTCTGCTGCTTCTGTTAGCTCGGTGTGATGCTGAACCAGGGATAATAATATCTACTATAGAAAGCAGCACTAAAGGATTTAGTAAAGTTTATTAAATGCTTAGAGCTCCCCAGGTAAAGAGAATATGTTTAAAGGAGCATAAAGAAAAATTTTTAAGGCAAAAGTCACTGTCATAGTGTTTGACTAGGCTCAAAATGATCACTTGAAAGATGTCCCAACTAAGCACATTCCTTGAATAACCAAAAAGCATGGCATGAAGAAGTAAATCATAACTATTCAGTATTTATTATTTAATACTTAACAAACCAATACTGAAAGTCTTAAAATAATCCCACATGCAAGCATAAACATGTTTACCCTTCTAATTCCATAGTCTGTAGCTTTTGCCACCATTCCTGGAGACAAAAACACTCTAAAGGCGATTAGCTCTCTCATTTCAGCTATTATGCTCACCAAGGATTCCGAGTCCAGCTCCAAAYGAAGGATCTGGAGTTTTTCAAACTGAAGAATATCAATTATCATTAGGCTGCTCCGTAAAAGAAATTAAGCTTGAACCCATTGAGCTCCTTCACAGATGGTTAGGGGCAACTACATTCTGCAGGGTAGAGAGTACTGTGCTCTCATTGGGGTATCTGGGGCAAGACATGGAAATACACAGTTTTTCAAAACCCAACACATCTCTGATGCTGCCAAAATAATATGATTAGTCTATCACGGAAAAGCAGTTGTTTTCTTTGTTGGATAGTCCTTGCTGCTTTGTGCCCGTTATCAAAGATCATCTTGCAAGAAGGATTAGCTATAAAGCAACTGCAGTCTGCCATAAAACTGCAGAGTAAATGCCAGAGTCCACATAACACAGCAAGGGCACTGGACTGTGTTGTCAGTGAAGGGGCACACAGGAGTTTATGGCTCTGCTGTGCAGGCTCTGATGACACAGAGCTTACTTCCCCTAGGAAAGCCCGATTCAGCACATCTCAAGGTCTTGCAAATGACACTCTGCTGCAGACCTCCCTGCTCTCACAGCAGCAACAGCAGCAACAGCAGCAGTTTGGTGCCATCTGCTGGCACCGCTGCAGCCTTGCCTTGGAAAACTCCACAATCCAAGGGAATTCCACAACAAGCACCTTCTCTGGTCACAAGGAGGAACTGCAGAAGCTTTTCTTTAAGGTGCCCCATCAGCTTTGGAAGAGGATGCAGCTCCAGCTGTGGGGGCTGCTGGACTGCATGTTATGAACTCAAATTTCACAAATGCTGCCTGGATAACCGGGGTGAACTTGAACTTGACAATATGGAATAGATTAGATTAGTCACTGTTTCTTAAACTTTTATATTGACATGATCATTCAACCTTTTTTGGGCAAGTATTCATGATMCTAACATGTACATTTCAGTGCTAATAGCAAGGGGAAGAATACAACAAACAATGTACTTACTGTTTTTTCTCAAAGCTACTTCTATCAACACTAATTTAATGTGTGATTATAAGGGCAAAATACGTAGACTGCTGACAAGAGAACTCTGCTGTTTGACTCTTGCCCCCTGCATTAGCCACTTAAGAGCTGATCCCAAGGGTCTCACACCTTCTTGCTGTGGGAATGCAGATGGAAGTGTTCAGGTTCCCTTCCTCCCTCCCTGTGTTGCAGACATTTTGAGGATTGATTGCCTTTCTCACTACTCTTCTCCAGACCATAGGCTGAAGCCACTTGATCCTCCCTTGATCCTTCCAGCCTTACCCTGCAGAAATCCTACACAAAGCCAATGTCCAAGACCATATTCTGCGCTGGACATCAGTGCTCAAGCGGCTCATGCCAACGACAAGTACAGGCAAGATGAACATGACTGCAGGGAAGGCTTCTTCCTACCTATCTGCCTACCTCAGGTTCCTGCACCTTGCCCAGGCCACATACAGCTCGCAGCTTGTGCCTCTGATCYGGTAGAGCCATTTCTACCCTTCTGAAACACGGCTGCATTGCAGGAACAGAGCTTCACAGCAGCCCTGACCCCACGAACCCACAGGGACACGTGCTGGGATAAACCACGTGCGATAAATAAGCTTTGTCACCTTGCCCCTTACCCCACTGCCAGCAGTTACGTTGTGCCCTATTCTGCAARGTGCCTCCGCGTTTGGAAAGTGCAGCCACACAGGGACTGCGACACCCGAATGGAAGCTTCATCTTTCTTGAGGATGGATGGAAGATGCCCAGAGATTCTCCAAGGGCCATAAAGCTGGGGGCTGCCACAATGTCGGGCATCCGTTCGTGTGCCAACCATGGACAGGAGACTCAGGAGGTGCTCAAAGCCCCCCCGGCAGCACCAGGGTCGCTGTCCGGGGCTTCTGCACAGCAAGGCTGGTGCCAGCAAAGCTGCACATAGAGCAGGCACCGAGTACAGGTTGGTAACAAATGAACAAACTGAAGGCAACCAAGGATGCACCTACTGTTCAAATTCCAGCAAATCAGGAGATGAAGTGGGTGGGGACTGGATAAGCCCCAGGTTCACATCATCCTTGGTTGTGTTTTTTTCATATTCTTCACTCCAAAACCAGACTGTAGAGTCACTCTCACTCGCAGTTTCTAAGGGTGAGGCAGTGCTGGAAAACAATAATTCTCAACTGGATTAACAAAGTCCCTAGCATAGCCACTGTGAAGCCCAAGCCCATTCTTCCCAAGTAGGCCTTTTCACTATCTTTTCTTTGCAAGCAAATGAGAACTCCTTAGTGTAAATGAACAACAGAAGAAGGAAGGGAAATGCAMACACTGACACTATGAGACCGACAAATGCACAGAACATTCATGCACTGAATGGTCTGGGTGAAATCTGTTCATCTTTCCTCATATCAGGCCTCAGCTTGGTAATTCAGCAACATGGATAAACTGCTGTGGAGGTGTTGGAAGCAAGTGCAAATTAATATCATCTTTCTCGGCTTGGTGCAAGTCTTTACCTGTGATTGCCGAAGTGCTTCCTGACGTACTCCTCCCGGACCTCCTCCAAGGTGGACGGGCTCCCATCCTCCAGGCTGAAGGACTCTGGTGCAGCAGAAAGATGCAGGTCATGCCAGGCACGTCATGCCACTGGCTTCCCTCTCACCCTCATCCCAGTCAAACCACGCAATTCTCACAACTGGTGCTTTGCTGCCACAGCCTGAGCTTTTGATTAGGCAAAAACGAGGCAAGATGAGACACCTCAAGCTATAAAGTGGCTACCGTGATCATGAGGGACTTAGTATTTGTAAAGCTGGTCTGACAGGGAAACCAATGGTGAAAACCACAGGCAAGTGCCAATCAACAGACCATTCTGGGGACGTATATCTCAAAACTCAGGTTCCTGAGTTTTAACTGACGTGTAACTGATGTATAACTCAAAAATGAGGTTCCCCTGCTTGGGATCACTTCAAACATCCTCTCTCTGCCAACTGTTCGCCCCTATCCCTACCTAACCCTGCATTTCASTGCTTATCGGAGGGTGCAGCTTCAGAGGAACTGGCTCATTTCAAGCACTGGGATTTTCAACCGACCTCAATGATTTGAGGTGCAAGTTGCATAAACAGCACTTTTTGTTATTTTTTTTAGGTGACAGTATTTTGGACACCGCAGGCACATGAAGATCCATCCCCAGGCACTGCAGCAGGCAGGCCGGGGGTGCCAGGCAGCGGGAGCTGCTCCAGCCTCTGCCCGCGTGTGCCGCGGGGCTGGGAGAAAGCCAGAACACAGCTCCCCTGTCCCTTCTCGCTCCCGGACTACATTCCTAACAAGAGGTCCCCAATCCCCACGCTTTTGGGATGAAATCCTCAGGGCGCTTTCTGTCCTTCTCCAATGCCTCTACTTCAAGGGGCTCCRTGGCTGCAACCTGCTGTGCACCGGGTGCCACCCGGCACTGTGGCCATGGGTGCTGCGGGATCCGGCTCCCTGCAGGACGGGGAGGACAGGGGTGCAGCAGCACCTGCTGCCTTCCCTCCCGACCCACACTGCGCCGGGCACACAGGGCAGGAGATGCTGGGAGCCACACGGGCATCGGTGCTGTACAACACACAGGGTTACAACATCTGTGGTGTACAACATCTGTGGTGTACAACCCTTCGTGCATGGATAAAACTTCCGCTCTGTCCCCTCCTTATGGCCACATTTAAAGCTGCAGCTGCCCCTGATGCTTGAGGGGGCTCCGTGCACGCCCAGCTACCTCTACTGCATAAATAAAACCCAAGCCCTCCCTCTCCGCAAAGTGTGCAAGGCAAACACTCGCATACGGTACCTTTCATCTTCAGCAAAAARCCCAAGGTTTGCTCCAGCTCCTGGATACAACTCTTAGCCTTATGCAACACCTGACACTGAACATAAAAAGAAATGAGGACCGATYGCTCGCTGCTCTGCCTGGATCCGTGCTGTAACATGCCTTGGCTGTTTGCTATGCCGTGCTTCATTTTGACCTCCAGTTATCTCAAAGTCTCTGTGAAAACAACCGCGTTGTTTCCCAATCTACCTTTACCGCTTGGAGAAAAAAAGAAAAAAAAAAAAAGAGGGATGGAAAGAAATAGTATCAGAGAAAACTTAAATACAGACTATGAATATTAGGTTTCATATAATGTAATGCCTGCATGTAATGCCCGGTCACACAACCATTTGCTACCTGTGTTCTTTGTTCATAAGCAACTGCTCTTGTTTAGTTTGTGCTCATCTTGGAGCATGTCCAGAAAGTCCACGCTGCACAGTCCTGCTGGATGTCTAATCACACCASGGCATAAGACTTCAGTTATTTCCCGTGAGCATTACTCCAGGGGAAGCCCTTGCCATGCCCAGCCACGCTGATGCCAACTGGAGCAACTTCACTGTGCAGGCAGCACACCTCCCCTTCAGCACTTAGAGCAAGCACAACTGAGAACATCTGGCCAGTGCACTGAAACACACGCAGCTGAAGTATTTCAGGTCTGACATGATCACTGAGATCATCCATGGTCATCTTAGACAGGTCTACCTTGCACAGCTTCCAGCTTCCCTAGGGGATCTTTTCTTTGGGCAGTAAAGCTCTGGGATGAGGTGAGAACTTTGCCTTTCAGGCTCATAGAGGTTCTGATCTTCCTCAGCGCAAAACATCTGTGATGGGCAAATTACACTATGAAATAGAGCAGTTTCTAACTAGAAATAAATCCATGGGACTTACCAAACTACTATGAAAACTCAGAAGCCTGTTGTGGAAAGAACTGGAGGATTAAACATAGGCCCTCTGGATCAGACAAAACAAGCATGTGTTTTGTCTGCCCCTTGGATTAGATAAACAAGCATCTGTTTTGTCTCCGTTTCGGGGATCCTGTGACTGCAGCTTGCTCGGGTTTGGGCAGCAGCAGGTCCCACACTCAGGGGCTCAAAGGGCTTTACATGGACAGCCCTTGTCTGAAAGGGCCATTACCCTCTCCGTCTAACAAACTGAAATAAAAGACCTAACTACGTGAACTAGTGGCAAAAATTAAGAACAAAGGTCTTCTGATGCTTAATCCCCCACCTCGAGTACATTAACCTTTTCGGTAGCATTATTTCACCTTTATAAACAGTATCTCTTTTGTTTAAATAGTTTCTCAGTTCAGTAAAAGGCAGTAAATGGTAGCGGTGGTTGTGGTTTTTTCCCCCACCTCGTTTTTCCAGACCATCTCCAAGAYGGTGCAACACCTAACATTGAATAAACTATTCCCTCTCCTTCCCTGCAACTTCCACCCCTGATTTCACCAGTTCTGCTTTCACAGCAAAGAGGTGTGAAACCGGGACTCTTTCCTCATGAGATGCCTTGACTAGTCCCCAAAATATCGCTGGGAAGCAGCAAAGCTGCTGCAAGAGAAACACAGCAGAGCCCCCCGACAGGCCCGTGACGCCGACGGGAGCGATTTGCTCACGCCGAGCTGACAGCTGCCGAGCGAAAGGGACCCGGGAAACCCCACGCAGGGAAAACCAGGCAGGGAAAACTAAGGTTAGGCACAGAGGCAAAGGGAGATGCAAGAGCAGGGCCCTGCTGCGCACCTTGGAGGCCGCGGCGTCCGCCTGCGTCAGCACAGCCTCCCGCAGGCTGCTGTAGAGCCCGGCCAGCTTGGCGCGGTGCCGGGCCTGCGACAGGCGCCGCCGCACCACGCGCGGCTCCGGCT